TCATTTAGAGTAAATCTATGTTACAGAGGGCCAAAAGCTATGGTGGTGCCCTTTTATTTTTCTGATGGATAAAGATTTTAGTGAAATTTGGATTTCCAATAATATCATGTAGCTTCGTAGGGAGGGTAGCTATTAATATATTTTGTGTATTTGGGGGGCGGGGGCTCTGTTCATATATAAGGACCGGGTGTGGTGGTGCAAGCCTTTAATCCCAGCCCTCGGGAGGCCGAGGCAGGTGGATCTCTGTGAGTTCAAGGCCAGGCTGGTCTATGTAGTAAGTTCCAGGTCATCTGGGGCTATAGGGAGACCCTGTCTCAAAAAACAAAACAAAAAGAACAGAATAAACCAAGTTTTAATCCATAAATTGTTTTGAGACAGAACAAATAAAGATGTGTTTAAAACTCTAAGCTTGAAAATATTATTCAATGGTCTCTTAAATATTTCAACTCAAGGAGTACATTGTTCTAGGTCCTCTGAGAAGTAGATACCAAGTCAGAGTTAGAAGTGCTAGAGATTTGTTAGAGAAATGCTTGTGAAGGATAAAGAGAAAGTAGCAGGAGTGGGCGGAAAGAGCCCCCAGAATGCAATGCTGACTAGGGAAACTGAGTGGGAAGAGTGTCATACCGTGGTGTGGCTTCAAGAAGCCTCAAGCGCGTGATGGCAAGTCCCCAGTAGAAAGTGGTCAATTTTAGCAGGAGTTTGCAAGCATTTTCTCAGCGGATCAGTGTTAAGGTTTGAATTGTTCCTCTTCCTGCCCCCTCCCCAAAAGATATGTTACCATCCTGTCCCCTGGCATTGCAGAACATGGACTTACTTGGAAATCTAGTTGCAGGTGTGCTTAGTTCAGTTGGGAAGAGATGATTATGGTCAGGGAAATACAAATTAAAACTGCTTTGTGGAGCCTGGCGAGGTGGCTCAGTGGTTAATAGCACTATCTGCTCTTCTAGAGGACCTGGGTTCAATTCCCAGCACCCACAAGGTGGCTAACAACCATCTATAACTGCAGTTTCAGGGGATCTGACACCCTCTTCTGGCCTCTATGGGCTTTGCATGACACAATGCACTTACATACATGCAAGCAAAACATTCATACATATGAAAAATATAAATAAATAAATAAATTAATTAATTAATTAAAAACTGTTAACTGCTTTGTGGGCTGGAGAGATGGCTTAGCAGTTAACAGTGCTTGGTGTTCTTCCTACGACCAAGTTCAGTTCCTAGTACCAGCACCAGAGTATCTGATACCATCTTGGCCTCCACAGACACCTGCACACATGTGGCATACACACACAGAGAGATACATATATACATAATTTGAACTGCTTTGAGATTCCATCTCACGCCAGTCAGAATGACTATCATCAAGAAAACAGCAGACAAATGCAGGGGAGGATGTGAGGCGAGAGGAACCCTTATTCACTGATGTCAGAGTGTAAACAGATACAACCACCATGGAAATCCATATGGAGGTTCCTCAAAAAACTAAAAATCGGACCAGCATATCATCCAGCTGTACTATTCCTGGTTATATATCCAAAGATGTGTAACTCAGCATACTATAGTGATGCCTGCACAACCATGCTTACTGTAGCCAAGCCATGGAACTAGATTTGTTGGCCATCAGTGGATGAATAAATAAAGAAAATGTGAGATATATACACAATGGAGAATTTTTTCAGCCATAGAGAAGAATTTCACTTTGTAGGAAAATAGATACAACTGGAGATCAGAAAAAGCAAAATAAGCCAGACCCAAAATAACACATATCTTACATGTTTATTTCCATATGTGTAATCTATATTTTTTTTAAAAAAAGACACAAAGGCAGGAGGAGGACTATTTGGGAACAAAGGACCAGTAAGAGGTGGGTAAATATGATCAAAGTATAACATAGACACATATGAAAATGTCATAAGGAAACCCATTATTTCCACAATGTGAATATACTAATAAAGCGTGAGAATAAGAAAAGAAGAACGAGGGGCTGGAGAGATGGCTCAGCGGGTAAGAGCACTGGCTGTTCTTACAGAGGACCCAGGTTCAGATTCCAGCACCCATATGTCAGCTAACAATTGCCTATAACTTCAGCTCCTGGGGATCTGATGGCACTGTCTTCTGAGGGCACTGCACAAGATGGGTGCACTTACACACATGCAGGCAATGCACTCATACACATAAAATAAAAATAAATAAATCAGCCCGGTGAGGTGGTGCACGCCTTTAATCCCAGCACTCGGGAGGCAGAGGCAGGTGGATCTCTGTGAGTTCAAGGCCAGCCTGGTCTACATAGTGAGTCCCCAGGACAGCTGGAGCTACAGGGAGACCCTGTCTCAAAAAGACCAAAAAAAAAAAAAAACTATAAATAAATATTCCTAAAAAGGAGAACGATAGATAATTTATCTTCATAGAACATTGCCTGTAAAGAAGCTAGAACTTCATCTGAGGACCTTAGTAAACCATCTCATTCACCATGAAGCCAGCTGCTTCTAGATTGTGTTGGATCCCAAGATAATGGGTGCACTCTGCCTCCATTTGTAGAAAATGAGTCCCCTCATCTGAGACAACATTGAATGAAAGTCCATATGTGTAGAGCAGACATTCTGTAAGCCCTAGACAGTGCTGGCTGAAGGACTTTAGGCTGAAAAGGCAAACTTGAACCAGGAGTGTGGACCACTCCTGAGGCAGATAGATCATTGACCTTTCTAAGATGCTACATGGTCTTCTTGACAAAGAGTGTCATATGGGGGGCTTAAAACTTGCAAGGAGGTCATACATAGTGGCTTACACTTATAATCTCAACACTTAGAAGACTGAGGAAGGAGGACTGCCATGAGTTCAACACCAGTCTGAGTTACATAGTGAGTTCCATGTCAGCCTGGGCTACAGAGTGAGACCCTGTTTCAAGAAATAAAAACCAAAAAACTTAGGACAGTGGTATGTGAATGCCTACATATCTTCCAGAAGGAAACGGGGAAAATAATGGATTCTTTGCTATTTGGTGAGAAACTGAAAGAAACATTATTGGAAACAAAGAACTAGTTTAATCATGTCAAGGACTGGTCTTTGCTTGGCATTTGATGGATGACCTAAATACCCTGGTGCTTGATCCTTTCCTAATTAGACTTTCTCACCTCAATGTTGATTAATGACACTGCCACCTTCACAGGGATCCACTGGAGTTTAATTGTCTGTGCATATTATGGGTTCACTAGTTAGTCTTATCTCGCATTGAATAATATACAGGTGAATAATGACTACCTAATTCAGTGCTGGAGTTATTTTTGCAGCGAAAGATAAGGAGATAGAATCAGAGAAGGGCTCTAGGGTATTTCAACTGAATTTGGAAATGCTTTATTTCTTAATCTTGTATAGATATAGTCATTGTATTATTCTTTATGTAAACCCTCAGATATATATTGAGTTTATTTTTGAGAGCTAAAAGAAGGGAATGGATAAATAACTTGTTCAAGGGAAGTCTCTTTAAAGACGACTTTCTCCTGTTTTTGTGTTATGTGGTTAGAGAGAACAGGGTATGGGAGCCCTGTTGAGGAATGGCAGACCTATCTGCCTTAAAGAAAACTGGTAACAGAGGGAAGGAGAGGTGCAGTGGGGAGTGGTCAATAAAAAGGAAGCAAGTCTCTAATCTATCACAGCAGTTGAAGGGGGAGTTGGTAAACTCCTGTAGTAGCATTGAAATGCAGACAAAAATATGCAATCAGAAATACTGAAAAAGTCCAACAATCCGAGCAGAGAGGAGAATTTGAATTGGCCCTGAGATGTTGACCCGACCTGAATGAAAAGGGGAAAAAAATTATCCTTACTCAAAGCCCTTACTCAAAAGACGTGGGTGGGACTTATGTCAAGGTCAAGAAATTTTATCTTCTTACACAAGGCCCATACATAACTTTCCAAAGAAAAAACAATAAAGCTTTATTTAATTGTTTAGAATTATCCTTTGAAAAAATAAGAGTAAGATTAAATAAAATTAAGGAAAAAAGAACAGACTGTTTAAAATAAAAATATTGAGATAGAAAGATAAAGTTATAAAATGAAAAATTAAGTCAAGTAAATGATTTTTATGCTAAAACGCAGTAGTGGAGTGAGTTCAGTTGAAGGAGAGACTGTCTAATTCATGCAGTTTTCATTCCCCATTTCCCATCAACACAATGAGTACCTGAAGAAATACCTGGCAAGCAGTAAGCATCTGTAGATTGAGTGCCAAGACTGAGAAATCTTGCTCTAGAATTTTCTATGTCTAGAATTAGATGATTTTAATTAATTACATGGTTACTACAGTCAGTAAATCTACTTTATTGCACTGAATCATTGAGCTAGGCTTCCCTTCTTCCTAATTGGATTCTTTTCTAAATAACCTGTTTAATTTTATTGCTTCTCTTACGCTTGTTCCTCCTCTGAGCCTTTCACCAATCTTTACCTTTCTTTCCAAATTTTTATCTTTTTTCATAATTTGCTGCATTTTTCTTTATCATCCTTCTCCCAAAATCATTGGGTCAGAAGCAAAAACCTTATTTGAGTTCTTGCTAAAATTAACCTATAACTCTTTAGGAAATTTGATCTCTTTGCCCAGAAAGAAGCAAGAAAAACGGGTGGTCTAAAAGCTATGCAGAGGATCAAATGGCACTGTAGGGAGAATTTGCAAACTGCACAGCACAAGACTCGTTTTAGTACAGGTGATTACTTTTCTTTCATTTTTTCTTCCTTTTCCTTCTAACCCCATCACTTACTTTCCTGTGGTCTTTCGCTTAGCCCACCTTTCCCCCTCGTTTCCCCCTTTCTTGTCTTTCGCCCTCATTTCATGCCTTCCTTCTCCTCCCTCTCTTCCATGCTTTTTCGTTTCTCTCTTCCCCTCCTCCTCCCTCCTTGGCTGGTAGAGCGAGGCTGAGTTACCTGGGATGTGAGGAAACTCCAGTGCTCAGTCTAGTTTGTGAACAGAAGAGGCAGAAGGGTTCTCACTCCTGAGCCTTCCAGAAGCAAAGATGCAGCAAGCCAACCTCCCCTCGGAGACATCCAACCATGTAAGTCAAGGTTTGCTCTTAAAATGTAGTTGTGTGGATGGTCATAATTACTAGTAGGTATACTTTAATGGTTAAGGCTCTGTTGAGAATGCATGCTTTACACAAAGGACTTATTTATGATAATTTATAACTATGTTCTTAAGGAATTCAATCAAAATCATGATAACATAAGAACTATTATCGTTTAAAGAAACAACTTACTGAATCCCATGAAGTTAAAAAAAATTATAGTACTTATGTGATCTTTAAAATACCAATTAATAAATAAAAATCAATGGATAAATACCAAAGCTTGAACTGTATAAAGATTTACAAATGAAAGTGGAATAAATTAAGAAAGTTGATGACATTAAACTATAATTGTACAGTGAAATATTCCATGTTACATTTAACCAGAAGGAACTTGGTTAAAGAAATAAAATTAAACTGGACATGGTGGTGCACACCTTTAGTCCCAGCACTGGGCAGAGGCAGGCAGATCCCTGTGAATTCCAGACCAGCTGGGGCTATGGGAAAACCATGTCTCATAAAAAGAAAGGAAGAAAGGAAGGAAGGAAGGAAGGAAGGAAGGAAGGAAGGAAGGAAGGA